CAGAGCCAGGGAATGGTGGAAGGCTACCAGTGAAGACAGAAGATAGGAGACTGGAGCAGAGCAGCTACTTCTCACCGCAGTTCACCTCCCCCCAGGGCAAACAATGTGTGTTGGCCCTGACATTTCTTCACGTACTTCTCCTCCAAGGCTGAGTCCAGCCCAGGGATTCAGTGCCAATGAAACAACTTCCCCATTTTTTTTGTCCTTCAGTCTCATGGCATGGATCTCAGATTTAAACTCTTTTAATCAGTCTTTGAACGTTTTGCTTTTCTCCAAATAGTCTAGCCTACTGTAAACCACAGAAGGGCAAACGAGCAGGGCAGCCTACTCGTTTTTGGAGCAACCCATTTTATATCATTTTCCATTTTCCATCATGGCTCAGCTTAGGTGTATGTATATCATTGAGATACAAGTTTTTCCAAGAAAAAGTACCCTTACTACATGCAGTGTCTAATATGCTCCATTATTTTCTATTCTACTACTTTTCTTTTTTCTTTTTTTATCATTCTTCATGCCCGCCATGACCTGCAGTATGAAAAACATTGTTCTGTGTGTCATCATCCCAGATCACAAAGTCGTTTGGGAAGGATTATGGTTTTTCCATTGTTCTTTTGCTTCAGAAGCTAAGGATCCTTCCCTCCCGCCATCTGATTGACACAGAGGGAGACCTGGAGTCCTCGGCTACACACCTGGACCCTCACTCCAGCTGTGCTCCAGGACTCAAATCCAGGCCCTTTTACACCAGACCTACTCAACAATCAAACCACGTGGTTAGTGTTCATGACCCTTCCTGCCTTGAGTCCCAAGACATCAGAGGACAACTCCTAACAGGTCCACTGATGACCAATGACTTGCAAAGCTCTGCCTCTGTCTTTCAGTCTCCAAAGAGAGGCTCTTCAGGTCTGTATTTCCCAAATCCACCTTCATAGATCCCTTTTCAAATGAAAAGTCTTCACCATCATTTGGGGTTGAAACCTGTTGAGTTTTTGTACAAGGACTGAAAAAGATAAAGAACGACAGCAAAAAAAAAAAAGAATTCTTGTTCTGAAAACAGTGGAACTTTGCCTATATTCATTCTTCTTTCTTCCCCTCTGAACATTTTTTGGGGAGCTCTATAAATTTATAAACAATAGAAGGAAGGATGTGGAGTATAGAGTCAGAAAACCCTGACTGTAATCCCAGCTCTTCCAGTTAACAGCTGTGTGACCTCTGACAAATCACTTCACCTCTCTGAGCCTTTATTTCCTCATCAGTAAAATGGAGCTGATAATGGATGCAAAGCCTAAACCCATCCCGGAGCACATGCACAATATATTGTTTTTAACATTATTTCAGAGAAGTTTGCTGATATACCTTCACGGCCGCAGAACAAGCTGGTGGCTGAGCAAGAAGACATTGCTGGGGCTTCCCTGGTGGCGCAGTGGTTGAGAGTCCGCCTGCCGATGCAGGGGACACGGGTTCGTGCCCCGGTCCTGGAAGATCCCACATGCTGTGGAGCGGCTAGGCCCGTGAGCCATGGCCGTTGAGCCTGTGCGTCCGGAGCCTGTGCTCCTCAACGGGAGAGGCCACAACAGTGAGAGGCCCGCATACTGCAAAAAAAAAAAAAGAAGAAGACATTGCTTTCCTCATGGGCAGGACATAGCACCAGGGCCAAGGGTCTAACACGGGCTTTCTCACCTTTAAAATGGAGAAAATACCCTCACCTTTAAAATATTCTCACCTTGAAAAGGGAACCCTCCTACATTTGTGGGAATGTAAATTGGTGCAGCCACTATGGAGAACAGTATGGAGGTTCCTGAAAAAACTAAAAATAGAGTTACTATATGATCCTGCTTATATCTGGAGAAGACTATAATTGGAAAAGATACATGCACCCCAGTGTTCATAGCAGCACTATATACAATAGCCAAGACAAGAAGCAACCTAAATGTCCATCAACAGATGAATGGATAAAAATTACGTGGTACATATATACAATGGAATATTACTCAGCCATAAAAAAGAATGAAATCATGCCATTTGCAGCAATATGGATGGACCTAGAGATGATCATACTAAGTGAAGTAAGTCAGAGAAAGACAAATATCGTATGTGGAATTTAAACAAATTATACAAATGAACTTATTTATAAAACAGAAACAGACAGATATAGAAAACAAACTTATGGGACGTCCCTGGTGGTCCAATGGGTAAGACTCTGCACTCCCAAGGCAGGGGGCCTGGATTTGATCCCTGGTCGGGGAACTAGATCCCGCATGCATGCTGCAACTAAGAGTTCACATGCCTCAACTAAAAGATCTCACATGCCACAACAAAGATCCCATGTGCCACAACTAAGACCTGGCGCAGCCTAAATAAATATATTTTTAAAAAAGAAAGAAAACAAACTTATGGTTACCAAAGGGGAAGTGGGGGGATATATTAGGAATTTAGCATTAGAAGATACTGCTGTATACGAAATAGCTAAACAAGGTCCTACTGTATAGCACAGGGAAGTATAGTCAATATCCTGTAACAAACCATAATGGAAAAGAATATATGTATGTAGGGAATTCCCTGGAGGTCTGCGCTTTCACTGCCCGGGTTCAATCCCTAGTCGGGGAACTAAGATCCCACAAGCTGTGTGACTCGGCCAAAAAAAAAAAAAGTGTATATATATATATATATATATATATATATCTGAATCACTTTGCTCTACACTAGAAATTAACACAACATTGTAAATCAACTATACTTCAATAAAAAATTAAATTAAATATCTTCACCTTTAAAATGGAGAAAATACCCAGTCTATCTCACAGGGTGAGGTTTAAGTGACATCATTACCTAACAGGATGTCAAAATCTGACTCGGTGTCTCCAAAATTGCTCTTGAGAGCAATAGGTGACAAGAACTCTCTATTCCACAGAGAAATGCCCAGAAGCCTAGACATCCACACAGGACCCTATCCACATAGGTGATGCTAACTAGAGGATAAAAGCTAGAAAGACTTGAAGAGCTTTGAGGTGTGTCCTGTGGAGCTTGTAAATTTTATTTTCTTATCAACAGAAAACTAAGCCATTTTACAGCACAGCATCTGAATTAACAAGCACTTTTGGGTCAAAGTGATCTTATTCAGAGTTTCCTTTTATTTTAAAGATGATTCACTTCTTAAAGGGAGACCCGTATTTCTGATCTCATAATTTTCCTTTTTAAAACAGAGGTCCTGTATCATTCTGTTTCTGCATGGTCACACTATGTTACTTTTGGCCAAAAATTATTACCAGGCAATTAGAAGAAGGGAAGTATCTTTTGTGTGTGTGTGTGTGTGATAAGCGGGCCTTTCCCGTTGCGGAGCACAGGCTCCGGACGCGCAGGCTCAGCGGCCATTGCCCACGGGCCCAGCCGCTCCGCAGCATGTGGGATCCTCCTGGACCGGGGCACGAACCATGTCACCTGCATCGGCAGGTGGACTCTCAACCACTGCGCCACCAGGGAAGCCCTATCTTTTTTTTTTTAATTGAAGTATAGTTGATTTACAATGTTGTGTTAGTTCTTGCTGTACAGCAAAGTGACTCAATTATACATATATATAAATTCTTTTTTATATCCTTTTCCATTATGGTTTATCTCAGGACATTGAATATAGTTCCCTGTGTTATACAGTAGGAACTTGTTGTTTATCCATTCTATATATAATAGTTTACATCTACTAACCCCAAACTCCCAGCCCATCCCTCCCCACCCCACCTCCCCTTGGCAACCACAAGTCTGTTCTCTATGTCTGTGAGTCTGTTCTGTTTCATATATAGGTTCATTTGTGTCATATTTTAGATTCCACATATAAGTGATATCATGTGGTATTTTCTTTCTCTTTCTGACTTACTTCACTTAGTACAATCATCTCTAGGTCCATCCATGTTGCTGCAAATGGCATTATTTCATTTTTTATGGCTGAGTAGTATTCCATTGTATATATGTACCACATCTTCTTTATCCATTCATCTGTCGATGGACATTTAGGTTGTTTCCATGTTTTGGCTATTGTGAATAGTGCTGCTATGAACACAGGGGTGCATGTATCTTTTTGAATTAAAGTTTTGTCTGGATATATATGCCCAGGCGTGGGATTGCTGGATCATATGGTAATTCTGTTTTTAGTTTTCTGAGGAACCTCCAAACTGTTTTCCACAGTGTCTGCACCAACTTACATTTCCACCAACAGTGTAGGAGCGTTCGAAAAAGGGAAGCCTCTTTGAGATAAGTTACTGTGTTAAATTAGATTTCTGAGCAGGGAGATATTTAACATTTCAGAACACATTTCAGTTTTTAAAATTAGTCCTTCTCCTTCAGGAATAGCCAGCAAATGGTGCAGAAACAAAGTGGAGTGCAAAACACAGATTTTTTTTTAAGAGAATTAATTCACTTTATTCTGAGCCTTTATTTCCTTAGCCTGTTTTCATTTGCTGCATCTCAATAGAGTCCACTTTCCTCCTCCTCATAAATTGATCGTGATTTCCAATACACACTTGTAAAATCTGTGAAATGCAGAGTATGCAGCTACTCACCTATTACCCAGCCGTCTGCCTCATGACATCTAACACCCCATGTTTACTTCCTGCACCTCTCTCAAAAGCCATGGTGTGAGGCAGAGAGGCAGGCAGGGGTGACAGGTAATTTGCCATTTCTCTTTACTTCATACCATAACACCCCCAAAGAGCTCATGGGTCTCTTACATTCTTTTTTTTTTAATTTTTTATGGACGTATAGTTGATTTACAATGTTGTGTTAATTACTGCTGTACAGCAAAGTGATTCAGTTATAGATACATTCTTTTTCATATTCTTTTCCATTATGGTTTAAAACAGGATATTGAATATAGATAATTCCCTGTGCTATATAGGACTTTTTTTTTTTTTTCTTGGCCATGCCGTGCAGCTTGTGGTATCTTAGTTCCCCAACCAGGGATTGAACCTGGGCCCTCAGCAGTGAGAGTGTGGAGTCCTAAGCACTGGATCGCCAGGGAATTCCAGTAGGACATTGTTGTTTATCCATTCTGTATATACAAGTTTGCATCTGCTAATCCCAAACTCCCAATCCACCCCTCTCCCACCCCCTCCGCCTTGGCATTAAATGTCTTTATAGGCAATATTTCCCTTTTTAAAGGACCAAACAATATCAAATGACAGACTTTTCTCTGACTTCTTTATTATTTTACAGATTCATTGCAGAAGTTCCATTTTCTGATTCCAGCTCCCTTCAATAAAAATTAAGTCCTTTTCCAAGGTTTGCAAATGATAGTAAGTGTACCCAAAGCTCTTCAGAGAAGCTATTCTGAGCAATTTCTTTACCAAGTTGTGCCCAAACAAAATAACAAATACAGCTAAATTTTCCCTGCATGTGTTGGCAATTCAGTACTTTCCATTAGTACAAAGCAAATAGTAATTGTGTGTCTTGAGTGTTTTTCAGATATCATTTCATTTCCCTGACTGTCTACAAAGTTCTCCTGTTTTTATACATCCTTTACAGATGGAGAATGTGAAGTTAAATAAGGGTCTGGGGGCAGGATTCCATTTCAGGGTCCAGGATTTAGTATAAGTATCAGGATATTAATATTTTATTTTTAGGACACTCAGTAAGTGAAGTAGCAGACATGGGCTAACCAACCAGTTCATTCACCCTCAATTGTGAAGATAAAAATTTTAACTTCAGCTTTTTTGTGACGTGGTTTAATAGTGTTGATCTTAAAAGAGCAAAAGAGCCGCTCATTTTACCAGCAAGATTATGCCAGCCACTTTGGCCAGTTATCAAGGTCCCTGGGCATTCCAAGCTTGATTCCCTGGAGGTTGAAGGAAACCACCTCCCTGATATTTCTGAAAAGAACGCTACTATCAAAGGAACCAACAACTAAACCTCTGCCGTGTGTTTGGTCAGGCTGTTTTCTTGCTCTTTGTACATCCTCTGCTTGACCAGCCCCTGCTTCCCCTACACCCTACTTGCTCCCAGCCCCAGCTAGTGATTGCTAATCCTTAGGCCAGAACGGCTCCACCTGCTGGTTTATTAAAGGGAAACACCTGCCCTCATGATGGTCATTAACGTGGGGGGCTGTGAGGGACGTGTCCCAGCTGTTCTCCATAGTGGCTGCACCAATTTACATTCCCTGGCAAGAGTATGGCATCTAATAATTCCTGAACATAAGGGCCATTTTAAATTTGGTCCCCACTGGAAGTGAGGAAGCCTCACTCTTTCCATAGCATTCCAAAGTCATAAGCTACTCCAAAGCATATCTACCGTCTGTAGAGATATTTACAGCTTTACCCTCGGCCAAAACGCAGGCCCAAGCAAGAGCGTACAGTTCAGCCTATTGGGCTGACGTAGCCAAGGACAAAGGTGCTGCCTTGATGGCTTCAAAAGAGTTACAAGAGCATACCCAGCATAATACTTACCGTGTTCACCTTTTAAATAAGAACCATTGGTAAACCCACAAAAAGTCAGTGTTATCCAAAAGGAGTTCCCTATAAGTCATCACGGGCGTCAGGAGGTAATCTGTCAGAGTCAGTCATGAGGAATATTGTCCATAGAGGAGGGGAGAAGAGTGGCAGTGTTAAGATTATTACAGCGAGAAAGAGCTGTTAGCAAAAGATTTCACAGGCCAAGCAAGGGCAGGGGAATTTATCAAGCTTTTCCAATTTCAAGAGTAGCCAACTAGCCCAAGCTTAGCTTTGAGTTTGGGGACGTTCAGGATGCCATGAAACCTATTTGGATCTAAATGTAACCCTTGTTTTGAGATCAGGTGCCCCAACTATGAAATCTGAGTTTGAACAAACTGCAGTTTTCCCTTGGAGACTTTGTGTCCCTTAAAGGCTAAAAATTTTAACAGGTAGATGCTGTCCTGCAAAGAGGCCTGAGAAAGGAAGCAGAGAAGCAAGTTGTTTACCTATTGAAATAAACTAGAGGATCCAGGTAACCTTATATCATCCAAAGGGTCATTGGATTCACCTTGTATGCTATTTTGGTTGCTTCTGAAATAGCACATAAAACGTCAACTGGCTTAAACTGGTTTTGCTTTCTTAAAACAGGTTGGTGATAATCAGACCTGAAGTTGTTTTATAGAGACAGCACTGTGCATGTGCAAGATGGGAACCCATGTCTCCAGGATGAGCCCAGAACCAAATATCTTCAGTCTGTGGAACTCAAAGAATAGAAGTGTTGCCACCAGAGGGCTTTAAGAAGGGAGAGGTCCTAAAATAAGGAAAATCTGGCTTCCAGCAGCCTAAGTACCTTGATTATCATATATGTACTGATTTGAGGCTATCCAATCAACTTCTGCCAAGTTTGAAATTCCCCTAACCCCCTAACCCGGGATCAAGGAGACAGAGTTGAGCCCTGCCTTCTATCTGCTTGCCATTCAACCTCACAATAAAGCTCTTTTTTTTTCAAAAGCCGGTACCATAGAATTGACTTCTATGCGTGTCTGGCAGCAAGCCCTTGCTTGGTAACACTACTGTCAAATTCTAGAATTAGCTCCCCTTTTGGGGAGGAAGAAATTCCAGACAATATTTCTTTAAGAAATCTCCACCTAATAAATGGGTAGGGGTGGAGGAACAAAGGGGAAAAGTGTATCTCTTAGAGGAACTAAACAAAAGGGAACAGGTTTAGAGGTAGGAACATGTTAAGTTTATTAGAGACCCCCACTATTTGAACCGTTTCAGTACTCCCAGGCAAGGGATGTGAATAATAGTGGGATTGAGCCCTGAGAGGGTAACTCTGGTATCGTTAAAGACAGAGATTCATCCCACTCCAAGCTGGTTAAGAGGAAGGATTGGGGAAAGCCCAGAGTCCCGTCACTGGGAATTAGGAGGGAACATGGTTTCCCATTCCATCCTGGTCCTTTTAACTAGAAGGGAAAGATCCCGGTTCAGCCCATTAATAAACTGAGTTGAAGGCTACCCAAGTGCAATCAACATCCATAGAAAGGCCAGAATTTTCCTTAAAAATCATTGGGAACTGGCTATAACAATCATGCACAGGCTCGTTGTGTGTCTGGGTGCAAGGCGGAATCTTATTTCAATCAGTAGGCTTGGGGAAAGCCAGGTGAAGTCATTTAAGTTTGCCCGAGCCTGATCCTATATCAAGGCAGGGGGTTGAGCTTTCATTTGCAGTACTAGAGATTTCTCAGGACTTTCCCAAAGCGCTGTTTTCATCCAGTCTTGGGCCTGGCTTTCACCAGCAAACATGTGAGCTCCACGGTATAAGTCTGAGAAACCTGGTCGGTAAGTCTGAACAGCTACATTAAATTTCTCGGGAAATATATGGGGGATCCTTAGCTCTACTCTAGGAAAATCTTTGTGGCTTGTAGTTCAGCCTTAGTCCAGGGGGCAGGGGCATTGAAAATTAGGGGCTTAGCATTAGAATCTTCAGAGGGTCTGATTTTAATGCGACAGGTTCTGATGGGTTCAGATGAGGAAGAAGTAGGGAGAGGTTTGGAGAAAAAGCAAAGTTCAGTGAGAGAATTCGAATGAGGAAGAGGAGGGTATGAAGGAGGTGGGGTTGGAGACAAAGAGGACGGGGAAGGGGAAAAGGAAGCTTCAAAGGTTTTTTTGTCTTCAGTTGTTTGTTCACATTGATTAATTACTTAGAAATGGTATTTTGTAAAGAGGCAGTTTTAGTGTCCCGAATATGCTTAGAAACCTCAAGGTACCAGTTGAAACTGGCGTTTGAAACAGGCGCCCCGTTCAGTTTGTTGTACTTTAGAGCCTCGGTCTTCTAATTTGGTTCTAAGAGAAGCAAGTCTGGGGAGATCATAAGTTCCCCATAATGGCAATTGGAGTTCTAAATTGTTTTTGGTTAGGCTGGTCAAATTAGTTTAAAATGTGTATAAGTTTTTCGGTTTTTTTTCCTTTTGTTTTTTGGTTTGGTTTGGGTTTTTATTGAAGTATAGTTGATTTACAATGTTTCAGGTGTACAGTAAAGTAATTCAGTATATATACATATGTATAATATGTGTGTGTATGTATACTTTTTCCAACGCTTTTCCATTATAGGTTATTACAAGATATTGACTGTAGTTCCCTGTGCTATACAGTATGTCCTTGTTGTTTATATTATATATAATTGTGTGTATCTGTTAATCCCAAACTCCTAATTTATCCCTCCCCCAGCCCCTTTTCCCTTCAGTAACCATAAGTTTTCCATGTCTGTGAATCTGTTCTGTTTTGTCAATAAGTTCATTTGTATTATTATTTTAGATTCCACATATAAGTGATATTTTTTAAAGGTGTATAATTTTTTAAATATACTCTAGAGATCTTTTTTATTTTATTTTAATTTATTTGATTTTTGGCTGCGTTGGGTCTTCCTTGCTGTGCGTGGGCTTTCTCTAGTTGCGGCGAGCGGGGGCTACTCTTCGTTGCGGTGCCCGGGCTTCTCATTGCGGTGACTTCTTGTTGTGGAGCACGGGCTCTAGGCACGCGGGCTTTAGAGCAGTGGCTCAGTAGTTGTGGCACATGGGCTTAGTTGCTCCGTGGCATGTGGGATCTTCCTGGACCAGGGATCGAACCCGTGTCCCCTGCATTGGCAGGTGGATTCTTAACCACTGTGCCACCAGGGAAGTCCTAAGGTGTATTATTTTTTAAACATAAAACCTGCTGGAGTCCCAGAAGGAGGACCCTCCTGAGAAAATTTAGCAGATTGGGATTCCATTACTCAAAACCAGAGGTTCAAAAAACAAACGAGGGACTTCCCTGGTGGCGCAGTGGTTAAGAATCCGCCGCCAATGCAGGGGACACGGGTTTGAACCCTGGTTCCAGGAAGATCACACATGCTGCGGAGCAACTAAGCCTGTGCGCCACAACTACTGAACCTGCACTCTAGAGCCCGCGTGCCGCAACTACTGAAGCCCGCGCTCCTACAGCCCGTGCTCCGCAACAAAATAAGCCACTGCAATGAGAAGCCTGCACACCACAGCAAAGCGTAGCCCCCGCTCGCCGCCGGCGCACAGCAACGAAGACCCCACGCGGCCAAAAATAAACAAAAATCTTTTTTTAAGTTTTTTAAAAAAAAAAACAAGCACTCCCCAGAAAGGACAAAACCTTTAAACAGATCCCAAATAAAGCCGGAGCTCAACTGAAAGGAGGGAGCTCCCATCTGAGAGAAGACTTAACTGAAAGGAAAAAGACAACTCACAGAAGCAGAGGGCAGAATGGGCCTGAGTGAGCACCTCCCGTGGCTCCAGGGTTCGTTAATTTCTCAGGGGTTTGTCTCCTTGGGATTCCACTTCTGATCATCATGTAATACTGACCTTAAAAAAAACAAAAGAGCCAGTTATAGTACCAACAAAACGTGTTTATTCGTGAATAGCAGAGAATCGCAATCAGGACATGCAAAATATGGCAAACCATAGGCAAGTCCAGAGAACAGAGGAGAGAAGGTTGCTTTTATAGAGGAAAGTACTACCTAACCAGGTTCATTTGCCCAACAGGCAGGAAGCCAAACAGATGCCAATGTTTGTAGCAAAGAAAGGGTTTATTCACGAGACAGCCAAGAGAGGAGATGGAAGAATACGTCTCAAATCTGCCTCCTTCAAGGCCAGGGGCTTGGGATATTTATGGGGAAAGAGTGTAGGGTTGTCAGAGGTGCAGGGGAGGTGATTGTTGTTCTGCGCAGGTGCAACTGAGCATCACGCTTCATAGTATGCGTGTTCAGAAAATGGCAGCATTAGCACTATCTGAGGGTGAAGTTTTCTGCCCTCTGATGTCAAAAGGTGGACATCACACAGGCCCAGATGAATGGTCGGTGGTCTTGGCCAGTTTGAGTTGGGCAAGAACTAGTTCCTAAAAAACAACTTAGGCAACTGTTATAGTGACCCATACATCAGAGGTGTTATCTATAGGGGGTGGTTAAGAGTCTTGTGACATATTGTCTAAGCTATGTGAAGCTTGGAGAGTCTGCTGTTTACCACAGTGGCTGCATCAACTTACTCTCCCACCAACAGTGTAGGAGGGTTCCCTTTTCTCCACACCCTCTCCAGCATTTATTAGTTGTAGACTTTTTCATGATGGCCCTTCTGACTGGTGTGAGGTAATACCTCATTGTCGTTTTGATTTGCATTTCTCTGAAGATTAGCAACGTTGAGCATCTTTTCATGTGCCTGTTGGCCATCTGTATGTCTTTGGAAAAATGTCTAGTCAGGTCTTCTGCCCATTTTTTAAACTGCGTTGTTTGATACTGAGTTGTATAAGCTGTTGATATATTTTGGATCTTAACCTCTTATCAGTCATATCATTCGCAAATATTTTCTCCCACTCAATAGGTTGTCTTTTTGTTTTGTTGATGGTTTCCTTTGCTGTGCAAAAGCTTTTAAGTTTAATTAGGTCCCATTTATTTATTTTTGCTGTTTCCTTTGCCTTAGGAGACCCCAAAAAAATTATTGCCACAATTTATGTCAAAGAGTGTTCTGCCTATGTTCCCTTCTAGGAGTTTTATGTTTTCAGGTCTTACATTTTAGGTCTTTAATCCATTTGGAGTTTCTTTTTGTATATGGTGTGGGAAATGTTCTATTCATTCTTTTACATGTAGCTGTCTAAATATCCCAGCACCACTTATGGAGGAGACTGTCTTTCCCCCATTGTATATTCTTGCCTCCTTTTTCACAGATTAATTGATCATAAGTGTATGGCTTTATTTCTGGACTCCATATTTTGTTCCATTGATCAATGTGTCTGTTGTTGTGCTAGTACCATGCTGGTTTTTTTTTAATTTTTATTGGAGTATAGTTGATTTACAGTGTTGTGTTAGTTTCAAGTGTACAGCAAAGTGAATAGTTATACATATATCCACTTTTTAATATTCTTTCCCCATATATGCCATTACATAGATTTGAGTAGAGTTCCCTGTGCTCTAAAGCAGGTCCTTATTAGTTATCTATTTTATTAATATATACAGTGTATTAACACATAGTATATGTAATACATAGTATATGTCCATCCCAATCTCCCAATTTATTCCTCCCCCTACCCTCCTTGTAACCATGAGTTTGTTTTCTACATCTGTAACTCTATTTCTGTTTCGTAGATAGTTCATTTGTACTCTTTTTTAGATTCCACATATAAGTGATATCATATGATATGTGTCTTTCTCAGTACCATACTGTGTTGATGACTGTAGCTTTGTCATCAAAAGTCAGGGAGCATGATACCTCCAGCTCTTTTCTTCTTTATCAAGATTGCTCTGGCTATTTGGGGTCTTTATGTTCCCATACAAATTTTAGAATTATTTGTTCTAGTTCTATGAAAAATGCCATTGGTGTTTTGATAAGGATTGCATTGAATCTGTAGATTGCCTTGGGTAGTATGGTCATTTTAACATTATTAATCCTTCCAGTCTGAAAACACAGTATATCTTTCCATGTGTGTCATCTTCAATTTCTTTCATCAATGTCATA